AACGTGCACCTCTGGAGGGCCTTGCTCGGGGTCTTCTGTGTGATTGTTACCTCGGGGGCCTCGAACCTCTGGAACTTTTCTGAGCTTCTCTGGATTGAACCTGCAGAAGAGCCTACCCGCGACGTCCCTCGTGAAGATGTCCCGAACCGTGTACTCAGCCAGGAACTCTGGGCCCCCCTCGAGGTACTGCAAGGCCTGAAGGTCCTTCTGAAGCAACTGGGCCCACGGGTTCGCGGACGGGCTCACCGTCCCGTCCTCCAGGAAGGTGTCCACCTCCTCCAAGCCTTCCAGGGTCCCGAAGAGCGCTACCAGGGGCTGTCTGCTGTCCTGTGGAAACTCGACGAACCGTTGCCACTGGCGAAGCCTTCGGACTAGCAGTTCAGCTCGGGCGTTGGTGATGCGCATTTTTGTCAGCAGCGTGCTCTCTGACAGGGAGCGGTACTTCAGTCGAGCCCCGTCTGGCGCGCCTTCTATAATCTCGGGCTTGCGATCGCGCAATACTGCTCTCGCGAGGCCCAGGACGACGGCATCCAGTCGGCGGCAGTCCTGCTTGCTGAGAAGGTAGGTCTCCAACCCTGAGTATGCAGCCGACAGGATGATGCCTTTAAACGCCATCCTCTTCAATCGAATAGAGTGCGTCACCTCCCAGAACCTGCCCATCCTCCTCCATGCTGACCTCGTCGCCTCCACCCTCCGCCTGACTTCTGCTGCACTCCCGCCCGTAAGCTGTTCCATCCCTCCCAGATATAGGCTCTCTGCGGCCACCACCCCTGGCACTGCAATACTTTTTGCAAGTAATACTCGGGTAGCCGTGTATGCCCCAGGGCCCGTCATAACTGGCATGCACACCTCTTTGTCGGGGTTCTGTGAGAATCCCCCTCCCTGCTCTAGCTTTCTGTCCAGGATCAGGTTAGACGCCAGGAGTTTTTGCCTTGCTTCAACAGGGTTTGGGGCACACAAGGGCACTGTCTGATGTATGTCATCTGCGTAGTCTCTGACTGAGACGTCGTGCATCACATTTGTCAACGCGCACGTCATGATGTTGGCGGCCCTGCAGAGAGGCACAGGTTGGGACCGACGCGTCACTTGGAACAAATCTGGCTGCTCAAGTAGCTCGTCCCTCCAGGCCTCCACAGGGCGAAGAAAGCTGCGCACGAAAAGCTCGCAAGCGTTCCCGTCCCCCATCCCAGATCCATGCGTCGGTTGATAGTACCCCACTTCCTCCCCCGCCCTGATCTCCATCACCGCCTCCTCATGCCGTTGATGAAAAAAGGCACGATCTTGCGGGTGCGGGATGACCTCTAAGACCGTGCGGGCCAGCTCCTCGTGCGAGGTCGAGGGGAACGCATTCGACATATCCTTTTTGACGAGTATGTGTGATATTCCCAGTTTCTTAAGCCTCCAGCTGTGTATTTTTGCAACCAACTGTGCGTTTTGTCGTGCTCGATGTGGTGCATATCCATGTGCGTGCGGGGGCAGGGGAGGATGATCACTGCGAAGGTAGAGGCCCCGATACCAAGCTTTCCCCATTGGACAATAACAATGAATAAGACGCATGGCCTTCGTGCCCCGCTTGAGGTTCCCCTTGGAGAGCTGAAAGGTCCTACTCCAGTGCCAGCACGACGGTGTCCTAGACTTCGCCCTAAATTGTCTGAATAGCCTCCGAAGTCGCTCCGCGAAATTCGGGCAGTGTGCGTGCATGCGAGACTCCACCTTTCCCAATTGTGCCTCCGTCATGTGCTGTGTGAAGGGCCACTCTCCCGTGATCTGCTTCGTGACATGCTGTGCAAGCCAGTGCCACAGTTCAGCTGGCAACGAATGTCTCGGAGCATATCGCCGCCTCGCTGCACGGCGTAGCTGCCCTAGCGTGCGAAACCAGTCGTCCCAGGCGAGCGAGGCTGCGGCTCCGCCTAGGTCATCAGGGCCATCCTCCTGCAGGCGCTGGAGTTCGGGCCTGGCTGGGTCCGACGGCGACTGCAGCACCTTGGCCGAGAAGCCCCCGTCCTTGGCAGAGGCCTTCATTGTCTCCTCCCACTCCTGCAAGCTCGGGCGGTACGAGTCTGGAACATTGCACGCCCGCTGTCGTGGTCCCCTGCATCTCGCTCCAATCTGATAGACCACCTTCCACAGGTTGCTGGTGTCATTCGAGCGTCGATGTAATTCTGCTTCTTCCAGTAATCTGTCCACATGCAGCGTGTCCAGGCGTCGTCGCTCCCGCTTGATAATTCGATCCAACGCCCGAAGTCCCACACGAACTTCCTCTGCGACACGTGTGGCGCTTGCCATAGGAGTCTCCAGCAAAACGGGCTGGCCGCCGCCTCCACGCGGTGTCCCTCGGAGTGCGAGGGCCACTAACGGCGCACCGCCGGGCAGTCCCCACTCGCACCCCGAGGGCCTCTGGGAGGGGGACAGCTGCCCTGCGACGAGAGAACCTGGCGCGCCAGGCGCGTCAGTATGATCTCCAGCAGGATGTCCAGGGTGTGGGTCATCAGGTCGGTCATGTCGTCCTCCACCAGTATTACTTGCCATGGGAGCATCCGGCATAGCGGGCTGGCCGCCGCCTCCACTCGGTGTTCCTCGGAGCGAATCCTCCAACCCCGAGGGCCTCTGGGAGGGGGTCGGCTGCCCTGCGACGACAGAACCTGGCGCGCCAGGCGCGCCAGGATTTTCCCCAGCAGGTAGCCCATGTTGAGGAAAGTCAGGTAGATCGTGTCGACCTCCAGCGGCCTCCTCTGGATCTGTTGGCCCCTCAGCGTTTCCCCGCACTCGAGTAAAACGTCTTCCAATCAGGGATGGCTCTGGTAACTGTCCGAGAGCGGGAACACCAAATCCCAGTTGAGAGGACTGCCACTCCAGATCCTCGGAGTTGTTCTTCCAGAATGCGTCTGCAGGTCGCAGTGGGTCCAGAACAGCAGCAGCAGGTCTTGCGTCTCCCTGAGGGGCGAGTGACCCGAGAAATTGAACTGGTAGCCTCGAAGTATCAGAGACCGATCTGGGCGGGCCCCTCCGTCGCATGTCTGCCAATAGTGTCCCAAGCTGTCCTAGAAGTTGTTGGTCTTGGGGGTTCAGCCTCAACTGCCGTCGGAGTTCCAGGAGTTCGCGTCGGCGTTCACGGTATTCTCTGGAGGGGCACCCTCGCTGGTTCGTCTGCTGTAGCTCTGGTAAGGCTGCAGCGCGTAAATCCGCCACGAGTGCGTCCCAGGCCAGGCTGGGGTCCACCTTGTCGGTATCTCTTTGCCACTCCTGCTGCTTGGACGCGGAAAGTCTCTCAACCTCCATAAGTATCTCAGCTCCACTGCCATCGTGCTGTAGCATCTTCCATATCTGGCCACGATCCCATCTGGGCTCCCTCTGAGTAGGCGTCGGCGCCGTAAGAGTATACTGAGCTGCCCAGAGGAGTGGCGCATGATCCCGTGGCTTGACATCTGGTATTATTTGCAGCTCTCTCTGGGCCCGCCTGAGTATCTTGCACTTCTGTGTGAGCTGGATGGCATCAACTGGCACCAACAGGTGGTCGGGGTTGCTGGTCGAATCCACTCCGTAATATGTCGGACCCGTCGGGAAGAACGAATCCGCGACTGCCATCCTCTCCATGCGCAGGATGCGCCAAATGCTCTCTGAAACTTCACTCTCAAGGCCAGTGGCGAAGCGGCCTACGTGGCAATCATCATGGGTCGGGGTCGGCAATCCTTGTCCAACCTTCCGAGTCCCAAATTGACAATTAGAATCCAAACCAACCACCACAAGAGACCTTTGCTTACTCTCCTGAATCATCTTGTGCACCCAATCCGTAACTCTCTTGCATGTGGATCTCCATGCTTCAACTGGCATATTGCTGGGCGGTGGGTAATACGCCGTGATCAAAGTCAGATCGAACCGTCCACTCTTGATACGCAGCAGGCCTCCTCTTCCCGCGAGGTCCGTAGGGGCAGCCCTCACCTCGTGGATATGCGAGTCCCTGATGCTCCTCCTTCTTACAAAGATCGCACACCCTGCACTTTTGTTGGTGTGTCTTCCCTTCTCCCATCCGTACGAGAACATCTTATGATGCGACAACTTCATCGTGCTGACTGGTGCTTTCAATCTCTGTCTGCACGTCGTCGCTGGACAAAGTATCACATCTGCAAACTTCAACGAGCAACTGATCTCTTCCGCTCTCCAGGCCTCCGCGATATGCAGAGGATTGTACACCACCAGATTCAACAGATTGTTCCACATCCGAGACAAGAGAGAGTATGGAAAACGTGTGTTAGTAGAACGTAGAAGTGTGATTGGAAGAATGGAAAGAGCCCCCCCCCAGGCTCGTGTAGCGGCAGGGAGGAAAAGTCCAGGTACCGTACGGAGCCCGTGGTGTCTCTGGCCTTGGGCGCAGGGGCTACCCACAGGGGAGGGAGGAGGACCCTGGCGTCACCCCGCACACACCCACAGCAACACACCACACCCACACCACATCCACAGGGGGGGGTGGGGGGAGCCACCACGCCACGCCCACGCCCACAGGGGGGGGGGGGGGGGGGGGCATCGCGCGGGGGGGGTGGCCCGGTGGCATTAGCATTGGAGGGGGGGCCCAAACCCTCGATCATATATCCTTATGCACCGCCTCCAGGCGCCAGTCTGCCCAAACGCATCGAGGAGGGGCTCCCAGCGGCGGGGCCGACACCAGCTCCACGCACAGACTCCGCACCCACTCCCCCCTCCCCCAAATCGATGAGGAGTCCCTCGCGGCGACCCCTTCGGGCACCCAGGCCCTCCACGGGAGCGCCCTGACCCAAGAAGCGCCGCAAGGGGGTCGAGAGCTTCAGCCGCGGCCGTTTTACTACCCCCGGGTGCCCTGCGGCGGCGGCGAGGGCGCTGGCGGCGGCGGCGTCTGTGGCGACGGCCGCGGCGCCGGCGCGGGGGGCGCAGCCGACGCCGGCGGGCGGCGGCGGAGGCGACGTCGGCGGCGGCGGCGCTGGCGGCGACGGCGGCGGCGGCGATGGCGGCGGCAGCCGCGCGCGATCCTGGGCTGGCCCAGGCGGCGCCGCCGCCGCCAGGGCCGCAGCCGCCTCGGCCTTGGCCGCCGCCTGGAAGCGATTGCCCCTCCCCCCCCCACGGGCCTCCGCGGGCCGAGAATCGAAACCATCGAGCGCGCCGACGTTTCAAACAGTCAGGTTGTGGTAGTGGCCATGGCCAGGGATCCAGGAGCATCCGGCGACTAGAAAACATGGAGCCGGCCCTCTCGTCGCTATTTTGAAGCCAGCGTTTCGGTTTTCTCGGGCCCCGGGCACATGGGAGAACGACCCAGGACGAGAAAGCTGGCTCTGGGGAAGGGCGTCGAAACATCTGGCTACTGCCGTCCGAAGTCTGGCTCTGACCTGCGGAGGAGGGCCACTTCAAAACAGCGACCCGCCCATCCTGGTCGCCCTCCCTCGGCGGCGAGTCCGATGGGGAAATGAAGGGGCGGGCCCTCCCAAAGGCTCGGAAATCCCCTGGCCCTCTGAACAGTTTTTTCAGCCCTGCCCGAAGGCACAGAACTCCTCTCAGAAGGCCGTAGCGCTTCTGAGAAGCCCCGCCGCCTTCTGAGGATCGGCTACACGCAGGAGTGACCCTGGGTAAGAGTGACCTTTGGTGCGCGACTTTGTGGGGGCCGCGGGGGGACCAAACGTCGGCCCGCAAGCAGCTGCTGCTGCCTCGTTTTTAGCCATCTCGGGACCCATCTGTGCCCGCACCAAAGGTCACTCCGGCGAAAGGTCACTCTTACGCCTAGTCGAGAGGAAGCCTTCTGCTTATCACTTCCCCTCCAGGCGTGCCGGCCCGTTTCTCGGAGCGCATCCAGTCGTGGCGGCGAGAAGGCCTCGGGAACCCCCCAAAAAAGGAGGAGCAACGCCAGGGAGGGCCGCCGTCGCCTCGCCCGACCCTCCCCCGAGATCTCTCTCCTTCTCGCTCTCTCTCTCTCGCAGCGGAGGCCCGTGCGCTCGAGGCCCGCCGCAGCTCCGAGAACTGTGGCAAGTCGATGGGCTCTCGAGGACTGGCCACTGGCCGACCGACCTTCGGCCTGCGACGCTCTTCGAGACGAGGTTTCGTCTCCTCGACGCGCCCAGCGACCTTCCACATCGTGACTTCTGTTACGTGGAGCCCCAGAGAAGGTCAGGACCTTTCCCCTGAGGACTCGGTATTTCAAGCTATAGTTTTCTGACGGCCCCTGGGTTCCGGCAAAGACCGAAAACGAGCAAACAAGTTTCGCCGATCGATTCTTGTTTAAAATGACATTTCTTGTTGCGTCAGAATCAATCGCACGCGTGCACCAAAGCATGTAGGGGGGGGGTCTAGGCTCCCCCCCAAGTATGGTCGATAGCGCCACCCAGTGGGGTGGGGGGGAGGCGGCCGGCGAGGAACAAAAAAGACGGTCATCAAAGCGAGGGCATATCTGAGCAGTCCTCCTCCCCCTCCTCCTCCTCCTCCTCCTCCTCCTCCTCCGCCTCCGCCTCCTCCTCCTCCTCCTCCTCCTCCTCCCCCCCTCTTTTCCTTCTTATGTTTGTTAGTCTTCCTCTTCTCCTCTTATTCCTCTGCTTCGTCTTCCTCTTCTTCCTCTTCTTCCTCTTCTTCGTCGTCTTCCTCTTCTTCCTCTTCTTCCTATTATACCTCTTATTCCTCGTCTTACACTTCTTCCTCTTAGTATTCCTCTTATTCCTCTTCTTCCTCTTCTTCCTCTTCGTTCTCTTCTTCCTCTTCTTCCTCTTCTTCCTCCTTCGCCTCCGCCTCCGCCGCCGCCTCCGCATTCTCCTCCTCCTCTCCTCCTCCTCCTCCTCCTCCTCCTCCTCCTCCTCCTCCCCCTCCTCCCTCCTCCCTCCTCCTCCTCCTCCTCCTCCTCCTCCTCCTCCTCTCCTCCCTCTCACTCTCCTCCTCCTCCTCCTCCTTCTCCTCCTCCTCCTCCTCGTCGTCCTCCTCCTCCTCCTCCTCCTTCTCCTCCTCCTCCTCCTCCTCCTCTTCCCCGACCCCTTCCCCCCAGCGGCGCCTCCTGGGCCGTCCCAGCCTCCGGGGCAGCCAGCGGCGCCCTCGTCTCTGAAGCCGCTGCCCCTGTCCTTTCGTTGCGCGCGGGGGGCGGGCTGCCTGCCCGAAGCGGCCCCCGCTCCCGTGGTAGGAGAAAAGGATGTTGAGGATGATGCTGCTGCTGCTGATGATGATAATGAGGAGGAGGAGGATGCTGATGATGAGGATGATGAGGTTGATGATGGTGAGGATGAGGATGATGCTGATGATGATGATACTGAGGAGGAGGATGAGGAGGACGACGACGATAAGGAGGAGTTCCAGAATAAGCCCAGAAGGTCTCAACGATGCTGCGCGACCTTGCTTGCAACACCTAATTCGCTGGTGCTTCCTAGGCTGCATCACCCGTCTTACATTACGACATGTATCACACGGCAGACCTTACACCGCATACATATATATATATAAGAACACATATGAAGAAAACAAAAAAACGGAGATTCCACCACAGAGTATACCACACAAATGTCACCACCTGGCTTGCACCACCTACCGTTCACCACATAGCTTGCGCCGCAAAATTTACACTTCATAGCTTTCACCTCATGGCTTGCGTCACGTAATTAGCTTCCGCCGCGTAGCTTGCACCACAAAGCTTGCGCATCCAGTGTGCAATAACTCACTATTGTGGGTTCATGCGGGCAAACGCGTCTCCCAATTCTCGGAGGGCCGATCCCAAATCCGCGGCACCGCCAGAGAACCTCCCATCCACAACTGATGAAGTCCCGCTCCAGATACGAGGGCCCCCAGACGCTCCCAAAGAGCGGCCCCAACGGGTCCAACATACGCCTCCAAAAGGCCCCCAGGGGACCAACATACCGCAGCGAAAGGCCCCAAGAAGCCTCCAAGAAGCCTGCAAGAAGAACGGCGGATGTGGACCTCTCCATAATCCCAAGGGCAAGCGTGCATCCACATCAACCGCTCCTCGGGGCCCGACTCCGCAGGAGGCGGGATGTGGACCTGCTCTGGCGGTGGGCCCCCCTGGATCCTCGACCCTGCCCTGCCTTGCCCTGCCTCTGAACGAAGCATCGGTCGGGACGATCGGAACGGGCACGGAAAGAGTGGGTACAATGCCCAACAGCAGCTCCTGTTCATTTTGAACAGGACTCGCTGTCCGCGCCGCCGCGGACGTTGTTCTTTGAAGACACAACGCCGCTGTTCGGCATTGGACAGCATTTGTTGTTCGGCATTGTACCCATCGTTCCCGTACCCATTTCGGGCGTCCAGAATCGGGAAACGTCAACCGACCACCTCACCGATCCTGGCCAGGCCCGCCCGGTGCCCAGGATCGGTGCACACACCCTCCAGGCCTGGCAAGGGAGGCATCTGCACCGACCCTGGGCCCGAGATCGGCCTGCGCAGGAACGGGGAGGTCTTCGGCTGGTGCCCTCGGGGGCGACGAGAGGGGCGAATAGCCGAGGGGCGGGCGTTACACGTATTCGCCCGGGAGCCTCACCGAAGGCACGCAACATCGGCGCCCCTGGATACATGCATTGCTCCCCCCTGGACTATTCGCCCCTGTCGTCGCCTCCGAACGGTGAGGTCTTCGGCTGGTGCCCCCCCCGGCGATCGTCGTCTCTGCCGGTCATCCCTCTGACCCGGCGCGGCGGGGTCGAACAGCGTCCTCGTCTCGGAAGCCGCCGCCCCTGCCCTTGCCGCTCTTGCCGCCCTTGCCGCCGCCTGGCACCCCCCCTGAGCACGCAGAGCAGGAGCAATACCAGTGTCGCGCTGGTCGGACGGCCCATCATCGGCACGTCACTGGGCACATGAGTGCACAAAGCGAATGAACAACACGCATCGCTTAAACAACGACGTGCTTGAATTACTGACACCCTTTATCCCTCCCGAGGAAGCTCTGCAGCGCATCGGGACGTCGTTGTTTCGGCACCGTTAGCGCCTGGAACCCTGAGCTCCCTTCTTGCGGACATGTCACGACACGACATCGCTGGTCGGAGGAAGGGATGAGATGGCAAAGGAGGGGGGTTAAGCGAATCGGCCCACATAGCTGCTTCCCTGGCGCCGCCCAGCGCCGGAGGCGGCCATGTTATCGAGGAAAGGGCATGGCAGCGAAGTCAAAACTGCCCGCACACAGCAAATCTCGTGACGCCCCCCCCCCCCTTCCCAATTCCTCCCTTTCAGCCAGTTGGCACCCACGGCGGAATTGTGGCGTGGGTGGTGTGCTGTCGTTGGGTGTGTGGCTCGGCCCCGCGGGCCTGGCCGAAAAGGCTCCCTCTCCAAGCAGGATGGGGACGAGCAGTAAGTAATGCAGCAGGAGAAGGTTCTCCCTCGCCCTTCCCTCCCTGTCTCCACTCCCTCTCCAGGGGGGAAGCCTCTGGAACTGATGCTGCAGTGCGCCCGTCTGGGGCAACCTTTGCCCCCATCGCCGAAGCTCTCACCTCCAACCCGCGGTCGCCACCTGCTCCTCTTCTCCGTCTTCATCCGCCGCTTCCGCCAGTCAACGACTGCATGCTACTCCGTGCGTGCGGACCCACTGATGTGATAAATTAAACGAACACTCTTCCCACCCCCTGGCCATTTGTAGGGATGGGCTGGCACGGGCAAGGGTCGTCTGCCCAACGTTGCTTCCAAACTCGAGACAGATAGAAAAAATTGGATGATTCCAATCGGGGCTGACACCCGCTTACCTGACCCCCGACGTTTCGAAAGAGTTTAGCAGCCGGTCCCTACCCCAAATCCCACTGGCCGTCCGAAGCTTAACCAACCTCAAGTGGCCCAAAGTCGGTGGGACGCAGAGGGCGGGAGATGACCAGAGGGGGGGGGGGAGGGCGGGGAAAATCGCTCAAGCTGGGTTCGTTCTCTTCCCCCGCCTTGGGCTATACGCCCCTCTGATTTTGCACAGCGTGTGGCGGCGTGGAGCCCCTCTGCGCAACGCTACGGGCCTTGCACACGGATAGCGGGTCCCTGCGCTTCGTGGGGCGGGAGGCCTGAGATTTTTTTTTTGTTCGTCGGCGGCGAGGTGGGGCAATCCGCTCCGGCGTGGCAGCAATGCAGGGGCACTAAACAGCGAAGTGGCCGGCATGCAGGACTGGCCATCGCTCGGACGCCCATTCCCTGTGCTTTTTTCGGTTTCGTGCGTGTTTTTTTTTTTCGCCAAATGATCAAGGATGCTCCTCGATGGTCCTCGCCGAAGGAAAAAAGCACACGTCCGAGCGATGCCAGGAGGAGGGGAGGAGGACGGGGCGGCCGCGGAGGCGGGAGACTCCCGCCACGGCCCGGGACGAACACGGAGCGCTGATGCCTGTGCTTGTGGGCTGGGCCGTGCTCCGCGTGTCGCGCCGAAGGCGTGGTGGGCCCCAACCGGCGGCGGGACCCGGCGAGCAAACGCTCCCGACCCCACGTGCCATCGAACGACATTGTCGGGGGCGCGCGCACGTGGATCGGCGATCCATGGATTTGGCGCGCGGTCGTCAGATCCATGGATCGGGGGAGGTGCCCTCCCTAGAGTGCGGCCGGTGCCGCCGCGCTCGGCGGCGGAATCCGCGATTTCCGATGGAAACGGGACCCGTCGCCAATCCGCGCCCCCCTGATCCATGCTGGCAATCGCCTGACATTGGGGTCCAGAATCCCGTGTCGACCAAGCCGGCAACGACGTCCCCCAAATAGCTGCGCTGCCCCTCCCCCCCTGCCGCTGGGCGGGTTCGGACACTCGCTCGCCCGGTGGCCCTCCTCGCCGCAGTTGAAGCAGGCGAAGCCTGTCAGAGAGACGGGCCAGGCAACAGGGTGTGGAGAACCCGAATCCCAGACTCGGCTGGACAACTAATTTGAGGCCAACTAAGGGATACACGATGGGGGGCGCCCCTCCTCGATCGGGGTGCGTCCACAGAGCCCGCAGGGGGCTTCTCCCCGAGTGCCCCATCATTGGCGACCAACCTGGACCTTCGGGCGGGGCGAGAAATCGCCTGCGACCAAACACTCGTGCGGGGGCAGGCGCATCATAGCCGGAAACATGTGCGGGGACGAAGACAAGGCAAGGCACGGCAAGGCGGTCTGCATGCCAGCTCCGGTGCCGGAGCGGTCCCCTGGAGGGCAGACGAAGAATCAGCATCGGCCAAACGCCGCATGGGCAATCTCTTATCCTCCCACATGCGACAAATTGTGAGACGTTACAGAAACAACAAGAGGGGTGAAGGAGGGGGGGAGGAGGAGGGGGAGGGAGAAGAGGATTGGAGGGGGAACGCATGCACATGCACAGCGTGTGAAACATGCAAACATCACGCCTTCAGATAATCGTCCCACCGCAACCGCGGTCTGCCAACACTTCGTCTGGCATCCGTCCGGAACCACGGCGTCCACTTCAAGAGTTGTTTGCTCCATGTGATCTCTGTGTCAGAGAATACGCGGGCAGCGAATTCCGACTTTCTGGCAGATTGGCCGAATTCTAGGACGGGGGGTCGAATATTATTGATGATCAGAGTGAGGGGGCCGAACGGTCGTTCATTGTCCCTGGGTGCGTGGCTGCAGTGCGGATCCGTGGCAGTTGCGGATAAGAGTGAGGGGGCGGCGGGGACGACGGCGGTCTGCGAGGCTTTGAAGAAGCCCGCCGCAGGCGCAAAATCTTTCAAGCTATGCAACGAGCCCGCCGCAGGCGCCGATTCTTCTTAAAACAATGTAGGTGGGTCGCAGGTTGGGTCGCGGGTGGGTCGCGGGTGGGTCGCGGGTGGGTCTACGGTGGGTCGCGGGTGGGTCGCGGGCCGGGTCGCGGGTGGGTCGCGAGTGGCTCGCGGTTGGGTCGCGGGGTGGGTCGCGGGCGGGTCGCGAGGTGGGTCGCGGATGGGTCGCGGGCCGGTTCGCGACGACGACAACAACAACAAGCAGAATCCTCACCAAAGATCCGCACTGCAGCCACGCACCCAGGGACAATGAATGACCGGTCGGCCCCCTCACTCTGACGAAAAAATATCAATAATAATAATATTCGTACCAGGGAGGAAAGAAACAATAAAAAACGAAGAATACGAAGAAGAGGGCATGGATTCGGAGTGGTGTCGTGGCACTCACCATGAAATCCACACACGCACTGATCCAAATAAGAAGATGAGAAACAACAAACACATCAAACCAACAATGCGAATACCAAGTATAATAACAACATAACATAATAATAATACTAATAATAAACGAAACAAAAGCAAAACGAGGGGATGACATCAGGGTGATTTCATGGCCCTAGCCATGAAACCCACACAGAATCCTCATGACCTTCTCAGGCGCTCCGAGAGAAGACCCAGATGCTGGACAACCATTCGGGCTGCCTGGACGCCTAGACACCCGGATCCACGATCTTCAACACGTGCATCAGCGCCAGAATGTGCTTGTCCGCCGAAGCCGTTCAATGCGACGCATATTGTGGAATTCGGGCCGACGCGGACTGCGTGTTTTCGGTGGACTGCACGAGGTAACGCACACAAGCGCAAGCACAAACACGAAGACACCCGCACACACACACACCCACCCACCCACCAACCCACCAACCCGAAAACACAGCCACACCCACACCCATAACCACAACCACAACCACACCGACCCACCGACGCACCGACGGACCGACCCCCCACACACAAATAAACACACGCCCAAACAAATTCACACACACGCACGCACGAACACTGATACACTCACGCACACACACAAACACACACACCCACACACTTACCCCCCCCCCCACACACACACACACACACACTTACACACGCTTACACACACTTACACACATACACACACACGCGCACACACGCACGCACGCATGCACGCGCGCACGCACGCACGCACGCAGGCACGCAGGCACGCACGCACGAACGCACGCACGCAGGCACGCAGGCACGCAGGCACGCAGGCACGCAGGCACGCAGGCACGCACTCACGCAGGCACGCAAGAACGCAGGCACGCATGCACACACACACAAGCACACGCACACACTCACACGCACGCGCGCGCACGCACGCACGCACGCACGCACGCACACCGCACACCGCACACCGCACGCACACGCGCACACGCGCACACACGCACACACGCACACACGCACCCACGCACACACGCGCACACACACACACATTCACTCACACTCACTCACAGTCACTCACACACAGACACACGCACACACACACACGGACACACGCACACACGCACTCACGCACACACGCACACGCACACGCACACGCACACGCACACACACTCTCACACACACACACACGCACACACACACGCACACACACACACACACGCACACACACACGCGCACGGCAATTGACGTGCTGTGATGTGCTGTGATGTGCTGTGCTGTGCTGTGATGTGGTGTGATGTGCTGTGATGTGATGTGGTGTGGTGTGGTGGGCTGTGCTGTTCTGTGCTCGCCGTCTCTGGAGTCATTGGCCCCAGCCTTCTGGAACAGAGACCCCCGCCATGGAGCCCAGTGCCCGATCTGCGGTGAAACCTGCTGGGATGACACATCCTTGTTGCGCCGCGGCGTACCCCTCTGGAATGGCGCTTCCTGGCGTGACCGCGCTGCAGCTTGCGGGGGTGGCCCCCCCCCAAGGGAATTGCCGCGAGGCTGTCGACGTCGTTGCCCGTCTCACTGCTGCACGCACACCACACGTGTGTGGCTCAAGCACGCTGTCTCACCCACCCGCGGTCCCACATGCTATCGTGAGCGTTGTGCGGCCCCGCGCGGTGCAGGTGTGCCTCATCACGCCATCCGGAACCGACTGACACCCACCCTCGCCGAGACAGCGCGCAACAGTACGAGCTGCATGCCGCGTTCGGCTTGCAGCACCGTGGTTGTCCAGCGTCGCGTGTGTTTGCGCGCAGGCTGGGTCCACCAGTACGGGAAAGGGGCCGGTCCTGGCGGTTGAGTGCTTTCAAGAGCAGCGTGCTGGGTGTGTACATCGGCGTTGGGTGGCTGCGCAGCGGACTGCGCGCCACCCACGTACTTCCCCCTCACCCACCGCCGCCTGCATCGTTTGCCTTGGCGCGCGGCTTGGGCTGAGACGGTGCGAAGCTACGGCGTTCCGCATAGGCGGCGAACAAGCAAACAAACAAACAAACAAACAAATACACGTGCGCTCACGCTTGCACTCATGCGCACGCACAACGCACACGCACATCGCACGCGCAACGCACAACGCACCACGCACACCGAACAACGCACACACGCACACCCACACGCACGCGCACGCGCATTCGCACATGTAAGCACACGCACATGCACGCAAGCACGCACGCACGCAAACACACGCACACACCACACACACGCACCCGCAAACCCACAAGCATACACACACGCGCGACCACGAACATACACGTACACACGCGCATACACGCACACACAGACACACACACACACATACACACGCTCTCACGTTGCACACGGAACATGCGCAGACACACAAACACACACACACTGACCACGCACGCACGAACGCACGCACGCACGCTTGCACGCACACACATACACACACACACACACACACACGCACGCACACACACACGAACTCATGCTCACGCTTGCGCTCACTCACACGCGCACGCAAACGCACGCGCACACAAACACACACACACACACTCACGCTCACGCACACACACACACACTCACGCTCACGCTCGCGATCACGCACACGCACACGCACACGCACACGCACAACGCACGCTCACACACTCAACGCACGCACACGCACACGCACAACGCACAAGGCACACAACACAACGCGCAACGCACAACCCACAGCGTACACGCACACGCACACGCTCACGTATACGCACACGTAGACGCACACGCACACGCACACGCACGCACGCACGCACGCACACCCACACACACGCACATACACACACGCGCGCACACACACACACTCACACACACACACACACACATATACACGCTCGCACGCACACAACACACAGTACAAAGTACACAACACACACAAACAGACATAACCACATACATAAACGTATACACACACTTTGATATGAAGCACGTCCTGAGTATCACCAACCAACCACCCAAACAACTGGACATCCCACCAGCTGGGCGCAAGCAATGATACATGCCGTGGTTACCATGTCTCGCCGAGAGCCACCACCATGATCACTCAACTGCGATGGTGCTGATTTGATGCCCGTTAGTTAAAATATCCTCTCCTGCATCCTTTGCACCACAAGCGACTCGATCCTGCCCCGCCACTCTTCCCTCCCTATCACCTCCCTCCTACATGCAACCGTTCATGCACTCCCTCCTTGCATCGCCGCTATTACCTCCGTCTCTTCGTATTCTCTTTTTCGCTTTGCATCCTGATGTCCCCTCCCCCCTCCGTCTCCTGTCGTCCCCTCTCGCTCCTCTCTCCCCCCTACCCACCATCCCACCCTCCCTCCCTTCTTGCATCTCTCTCCCTCTCTCACTCTCTCTACTCCCCTCCCAATGCTCGCCATGCAGAACTCGAGGGCGAATCCGGCCGCGGCGGCAAGGAACACCCAGGAGGGCTCAACACGGGCCCCCGACGTGCAGATCGATCCTCGGCCCTCCTCCTCCTCCTCCTCCTCCTCCTCCTCCTCCTCCTCCTCCTCCTCCAGGCCCTTCCCCTCCTCCTCTTCCTCCTCGATGTTCGATGCTGCTGGCAGCTTCACTCCCAACATTGATGCCCTCGATTCTTTTCAGCCACCATTGTGCAGGGGTCCTCCCCCTCCTCTCGTCCTTGGAGGCCTCCCCCATGGGGTCCGAGTAGACGAGGTTAGAAGATCGCGCAGCATCGCCGATATGTGGAGAGCATCGGGCTCCACATCTAGCCGTATCGCGCCGACGCATCGGCGATGCCGCGCGATCCGCCGACCCAACCTGCTTGCACCCCCTTTGCTGGAGGAGGGCCGGTCGAGTCAGCTCTCCCCTCGGGCCCAACCAAATACGCTCAAAATCACAGGGTTTCTACGAACCCGGGTCAATGCAAGACTGGGTCAATCAGGCTTTCCCCTGACATTTTTTGTGATGGGCACAATTTCCACCACCATTACCATATGTAGGACGGGGGAGAAGGGATGATGAGGAGCTCCTCCTCCTCCTCCTCCTGCCTCTCCTGCATACAGTAGTGGTGGTGGCAAAGGGGCCCATCATTTTGAGGGAGGCCCCGACAAGTCCCCGCGCCCACTCCGACGAGGCCGCGGCGGCCCAGCAGTCCACGCCGGGCAGGGCCGGGGAGAGGGGGGGAGGCCCCTCCTCCTCCTCCTCCTCCTCCTCCTCCTCCTCCTCCTCCTCCTCCTCCTCCTCACTCCTCCGCCTCCTCCTCCTCCTCCTCCTCCTCCTCCTCTGGGCAGGGCCGGGGGGCGGGCGCCTCCCCCGCCGCCGCCGCCCTTGCCGCCCCCGGCGCCGCCGATGAGCGCCATGACGCGGGCCTGCCGCCGTCCTCGACGCCGTGGCCGTCGCCGCCGGCTGTCCGAGCTCGGAGAGCACGCCCGGACTCCGAGGCCACGGAGCTGCGCTTGCGGCAGGTTCGCGCGGCGTCGGCGCGCGCAGAGGTTCCCCAATCAATGCTTGCACTGAAGGGGTCCTCGCGGAAGATGAAAAATCTGGCGAAAATGTCCCACCGATTTTGGTCGCACGCTGGGTTCCTGGGTTCCGGGATCCCGGGTTCCTGATTAGTGGTTCCGGGCCGATTTTGGTGGGTTCCGGGTTCCCGGGTTCCCGGTCGATCTTCTTATCGCTCAAACCATTCACTGATTGGGGTTATTCTCTGGTGTAGTTTGTGACACCGCGTCGATCGTTCAACCTTGAACCGATCGCGGCCCCGATCGTTCAAGGTTGAATTCCGACGGGTCCAGTGGCGTCACCGTGTCCCTCGGTGCTTCCGCGTCGCAGAATTCTACCTTGAATGCCTTCGCTGGCGACGCCGGCGCGCCATCGCCGCATGAACCTACCGTTCTGTATCGCGTCCCGCGGTTGCCCTCGCGCCACCGCGTCCTCGGGCAGCTCCCTTGGACAAGGGCACCCGCTCTGGCCTAGACCGCGGCGCGCGAGGCGCTGTTATCTTCGCGCCCCCGCAGGAGACCTGCGCAGCAAATTGGCTCAGGCCAGCTGGGCCCATGGCCCATGCCTGCCGAAGGGGGCCAAGAGCCCGCGAACCGCGCTGCAGACACTGGACAGCGCCCAAAACCGTGCGCTGTACCATAAGCGCCGCCGCCGCCGCCGTGGCAGTTGCCGCCGCCGCCATTGCAGCCCGCGGCTGTGCCGACGAGCACCTTGATGCGGCACTGCCGTCTTGGCACGGCGGCCGTCAGGACTGCTCCGTATGTCTTTGGAAGTTCTCGCATGGCTTTCGGATGTTTCGGGGAGTGGCTTCATCGGTTGCCGATGCGCTGTGGAGCTCGGATGTTTTCCATGCGGCGGAATGCGCACTAATGGAGGCTCAACCTCACGGAAAATGACTGAAGCATGCTTCATTGATATGGACACAACTTCCTTAAGTTGCAATGGCGCTGATGTGGCTGCCACTCCATGTGGCGGCTGCCGTGTTTTTGGCCATGCCCTTCCCCGCCCCCGTGGACTGAGCTGGGCAGGCGCCTTGTGCTTACGGAAGCACGAAAGGCACCTCCCCATCCTCCTCCTAATCCACCTACTCTTAGGTCGGGCATGTCCCCCTACAGGCGGATTCCGGAAGAAACATGAGACATAGTCGAAAATTGTCAAACATAGTCAACAGAGCACGAAACATCATCCCCAGACTATTTTTTGACTAATCCTGAATGTTCCTCCTGTAGAGGGACATGCCCGACTTAAACCTACTCGGGGTCTGACTTGCGGCGAGACGGCAAGCTGCGCGAATTTTTCAACTTGCATCACCGACGCCCGGAACCGTGCAACGACAGAAAGGGATCCCACCGCTTTGTGAATTGGCCTGCTGGAGTGAGCAGCCATACGCGGACCTTGCCCGTGCTGGTCAAATTTCTGAAACTCTGGCGGGGTTCACAATACTAGAGATGTCTGGAAGCCAGGTGAATCGCAGCCCGGGTGTCCGATACCCCAACGTCGACTGGACCCACGGGGGAAGGTTAGCAAATGGTTTCACATTTAACATGACACAATTGATGGGTCCTGATGGACACGGGCCAAGGGCCTTGCCTCGGGACGACTCATTCTTCATCCTGAGCAACTGTGTGACGGTCCTGTGGCCCGTGGAAGGGCCCTCGAACACTCAGAAAAACTTAGGACCCGTTCCCCTCAGAACGCGTTTGCTCCCCTGTTGCGCCGGCAATAGAACAACTCTGACTCCACCAACACTCTCACAACACACATACTGCATGAAGATTTGAGATGGCTGCGGCGGCATGCCGCGCTGACCCTGATTCGCAGCTCGCTCGTGAGCTCCATCATGCTTCGTACCACGACATCTCCTAGATTTCGTGGACCCCGCCTCCTTTTTCAACACGTCCCCGGCCCCGGTTCGTCCGAGCACGTGCCTCGGGGCCACGACGCGCACTCCCCCTTCCGCGTCCTCGTGTCCTCCCTCTTCCGCGCAGCCGACGTGGAGGGAGAGGGATGAGCGAGGAGGACCGAGAAGGAGAGGGAGGAGAGGAGAGGAGGGAGGAGAAGAGGGAGGACCGATGAGGGAGGAGAGAACGAGGAGGAGGAGGAGGAGGAGGAGGAGGAGGAGAAGGAGGAGGAGGAGGAGGACCAATGGACATCCAAGACGCATCAACCTTGTTACCCGCTTGCTTCATACGGAGGGCGGAAGCGGCGCGTTCCACCCGCGACTCCTCTCCATCATCCTCCACCCTCGGCTGCGCGCCGCCGGCGGGGGGGGTGGGGAGCGGTGACGGGAGGGCGGCACTCCCGACAAGGCAAGGGGAGGGGGAGGCCTCTCAGAAAAACCCGCAACCCTCCACGACAGGACCTCTCGGGAGGCAGCAAGGCTCCCGAGAAGTCCCCTCCTCCTCCCTCCTGGGGGGCCTCCTTCCCCCCCCCCTGCCCCCTCCAGCGCCACCCTGGAAGAAATCAGGTCCGCGCGGGTTTCTTGGATCGGAGCTGGGCCACCTGTCCTGGCGCGCTGAGCGCCCCGGGGGCGTCGGACGCGACGCGAGGGATCCAGCGCCGACCCAACACATCCGTGCGGACCTCGGGCAGTTTGTGCTCATGCCGTGATGGTTGCTCTGGTGAGCGACGAACAGAAAAGGGTCTTACGCGAGACGGCGTAGCGGCCTTCCGCCGGCCGCCAGCGCGGCACGATACTTTGGAGACGAGGGCGCCCACGTGAGACCTTACGCGGGCAGCTTGCGCTGGCAATTTGCGCGCCAGTGTCGGCGCAGACGGCCTCATTTTGTTGCGTTGCGCGTTGCTCTTGTGACGGAATGGGTCCTGAGGGAAACTGGCCATCGCTCGGACGTCCATTCCCTGGTTTTTTTAGGTTTCGTGCGTGGTTTTTTTGCCAAATGATCAAGCATGCTCCTCGATGGCCCTCGCCGAAGAAAAATGCACACGTCCGAGCGATGCCAGGGAAATGGGTCCTGAGAGAAATGGGTCCTGGAAACTTTTCCCCGTCCGGGGCCTCGCGCGGGCCCTCTGCTGGCCCCGGGGCCGTCCGCAAGAGCTCCTCCTCCTCCTCCTCCTCCCTCCCTCCCTCCCTCCCTCCCTCCCTCCCTCCCTCCCTCCCTCCCTCCTACACCACCGCGTGGGGAATGGACCAGCTTACGGCTGGGAGCGGGGCAGAGATCAAGGAGGGTGGAAGCTACGAGGGCGACTTGGAGGAGACTTGGAAGATTCTGGGAGCTCTCGCACTCGATTCGCCTCAAGAGGATGGCGTTCAAGGGCACGATCTTGTCTGCGGCGTATGCGGGCCTCGAATCCTACCTCCCCTCTAAGATGGACCTGAGGCGCTTGGATGCCGTCGTCGTAGGGTTCGCTTGAGTTGTGCTCCGAAACAGACGCCCAGAACTGGACCCCGAGGCCCCACTTGGCACCAGGCCGAAGTATCGGTCGCTCGCGGAAGGACTCGTCTTGAAAAACCTCAGGATCACCGACTCGAAAGCAGAGCTTCTCGTGCGGCGTCAACGACAATGGCAGAGATTTGCGAGGTTCCACGAAAACAATGCGCAACCTCTCACCGTTCTGTGTTGGCACGTTGGAGAGCCTGGGCGAGGAACCCACCTTCCGCGAGGACGGCGGCGTCGCCTCTACTGCCAACCCGTTGGCGCTCCAAGTCGAGCGCGATGTACAGGCGCTTCGCAACTTACGTGGAGGCGAGGACGTCTTGGCCGCCTACACAGTGAGAGATATCTTCATCCGTCCCATCGTCGCCCGTAACTTCTGTAGCGTTGACCCCCAGAAGTTCCGACAGGTCATCGAGCTCAGAGGCTCCAGCAGAGGCACTCCTGGGGACACGACGGGCGCCTCTGACGAACCCCTTCAGGGGCACGTCTGCGAGTTGCCTGGTGACGGGGAGGACGGCAAGTGTGGTATGACGTTCTACAGTCGTGGGGCCCTCAAAGTTCACCAACGTGACCATATTAGTCATGAGCGTCGAGTTCCTGCACACATGTTAGTCATCACCGACCAGTGCCTGTACTGCATGTCCACATCCAAGAGTCAGACCACCGCTAGGCGTCATGTTGTGCAATCTATACGATATGGTTGGTGTCTTTGTAATCAGAGCCCCTACGCACCTCCCGTCCAAGAGCCCGAGAACCTCCATTGCCCCTTCTGCCACGATTTAGAGGCCATGCTCGAGGGATTCGTCGATTGTATGCCACCAGGCTCGAGACGACTCGACCAGCTTGCTTCCCTTCCCGACTTCCAGCGTCACGTTCGGGAAGTGCACGCGCCCTCGCCGCCAGACCTCGTCTCGACCGGGCGAGATGGCCCTGGCGCCTCGTGCCCTCAGCCAGCCGCCCGCGGTGCTCGACGAAGCGCTGCGGTCTCGCCACGGCGACCGCGGCGCGCGGGGCCGCCACGAGAGGCGCAAGCCAATGGGAAGCCGAGGGCGCGGTGGGCACCCTTCCCGCGACGCGCGCCCCGCCCTGCTGGCGCAAGGCCTGGGGAGCCCAGGCGGCGGCCACCGCCGCGGGCGGAGCACCGCAGCCGCCGCCACCGCCGCCACAGCCCCAGCAGCAGCAGGCGCCGCAGGGGCTCAACCAGCAAGGGGTCTCGAACGCGCTCAGCCAACTCTTCCAGAACGCCGACGTGACGTACGGACGTCAGCGCAACGACGTCATGGGCCTAGGCGAAGAAACGTCCCCAGTCGAGCTCATCCTGGCCCTCTTCAACGTGCTCGGTCGCGCAATCCTGAAGAACGCACAAGGCCTGGCGGCTCTCGAGGCGGCGATCTATCACATCAGTCACCTCGATCGCGACCATCTGGTGAGCAAGGCCATGAGAGCGACGGCCAAGTACTACGTTGACCAAACCGCACCCGTCGCGACAACCAGCAGCAGCTTCGCGAGCAGCAGCCCGTTCCAGAGTTGGACGCGCTCGGAGTCCAACATCTGCATCTGTGGCTAGCACTGGTCGGCGGAGCCGTTCAGCAGGGAGAGCGCATCGGAGCAATTCATCACGCCGCGCTGAACGAGTACTTGGATCAGATCAAGGGCGACCCGACCATCACCAACGAGACGCTCTGCATGCAAGTCCGTCACTGCAAGATCTCGTTCACGCACGACCGCAAAATGATGACGATACACGTCGAGGCTCACAACACTGGCGTGCAGCAGCAGTTGCTCGACTCCTTGAGGCAACTCGGGGCCAAGCTCATGAAGGGGACGCCGCCGTGCTCTCACCAGGAACGCCCGATGTAGATGCTCCTGGACGGGACCGAAGCTTCCGCCCGACGGCTCGAGGGTCAGGATCGGCGGGGGCCGGGTGCTCCTCGACCCAGACCCAGCTTCGCGTCGCCATGGCCTCGGAACTCAGAACGCCCGACACAACTCTGCATTGCCATTAATTGTGCGGAGGCTCGAAAATCAGGATGCCCGTGAGGGCTCAGCGTCGCCATTCGTTTTGCATGGGCTCAAAAGTCAGGACGCCCGAAGGGGCTCAGCGTCGCCAATAGTTTTGCTCGGACAGCTCGAGACGGCGGGGGGTCCGAAGCACGGCCGAGCCAGAGCACCAGCGCTGCGAACTTGATGCGCCCCCGTCGGCTCCAGTGACTACGGCGGCACGACAGACGCGCTCGAGGGGAACCATGCTGTGCTCTTCGGGAACACTGACTCGCACCCCGAGTCGCCAGATATACCCGCGCAATACATCGCAGACTGCATCTACGATTACCCAGAGACTACCGCCTCCTGGGCCGACGGACCCGCGGACTTCGGGGTCAGCTACTCGCTCGACTCGTAATGCGATAGGCCTGGGAGGCAGGGGGTGAGAGGGAGTTAGTCAGACAGTCGAACTCAAGAGTTGTAGTGTCGCCGCAGGCTGCGGGATCCCTCCTCACCTCTTCCTCCTCGTTCGTCCCTCCGAGGTCGTCGTCGGTCGGTCCTCGCCTTACCTCCTCTCAGAATTTAGGTGCCAACATCTTGAGACTGATCGGAACGGCCCCGAGGCGGGACCCCTAAATTATGTTCATGGCCGGGGCCTTCTTTTTTCCTGTGGGATGTCAGGCGTGGGCCTGGTTCTAAGGTGCTGGCTTGTTTCGTTTCGTAGGTTCCTTTCGACGAGTTGACCCGCCTGCCTGTCTGAAGGTAGCCCCATAATCCCACCAGCCCTCTGGGCGTAGGTGGTCTAGAGCAGATCCTCTTCCACCCCTCCCTCTTCCCCCTTGGGGAGGGGTTTACCCCTCCCCCTACCCCCTCCCCTGGACCTGGACGGGGGGGGCCGCGGGTAGTTAGAGCGTCCAAGATGGCCCAAGACGGCTCCAAGAGCGCCTCAGAGAACCCAAGATGAGCTCCAAGATGGCTCAAGATAGCGCAAGATCGCTCACGATGGCTCCTAAGATGGTTCCAAGAAGCCCAAAGACGGCCCCAAGATAACTCCAAGTGGCCAAACAGCTCCCCAAGGAGGCCCCGAAGAGGCCAAAATCGTCCCAAAACCTAAGGAAAATCAATGATTTTTGCTTTCTCGCCTTTTCGCTTCCGATGGCCATCCGAGGCCTGGAGATGGCTCCAAGATGGCCCAAGAGGGCCCCAAGAGAGCCCCAAAAGAGCCCCAAGACGGCCCCAAGAGCGCCCAAGAGCACTCCAAGAGCGTTCCAAGAGGGGTCCAAGAGGCGATTTTAGGGGCTTCCGAGGGGGGACGCTAATTAAACCCCCCCTCTTGTTTGATCGACTCCCTCCAAGATGGCCCCAAAAGCGCCCCGAAGGCTCCCCAGAGCGCCTCAAGAGGGTCCCAAGAGGCGCCCAAGATGCCCCAAGGCGCCCAAAAAGCCCTCCAAGAGGCCCTCAAAAGACCCCCAAGAAGCTCCTTCCCCTCCTCCTCCTCCTCCTCCGATTCTTCCTCCTTCTCCGTCCTCCTCCTCCTCCTCCTCCTCCTCCTCTTCCCCCTCCTCCTCCTCCTCCTCCTCCGACGACGACGACGACGACGACGACTCCTCTTCCATCCTCCCCCTCTCGGGGTCTGTGACAGCTTCCCCCGCCCTTTGTTATTCTGCATGCTCCCCGACTTCCCTGATCACCTCAACTCCCCTGAGCATCGTTTCTGGATGGGCTGGTGGGGATACGCGAAGCGTCAACAATTTTGTCGAGGTCTGCCGCTTCTGGTCACAAAGATATGTCCGTTATGTGCGCCGAGGGGCGCATGAGCACCCCCCACGTGCTATGCACCGCTTTAGAGCGCACTCGAGGTGCTAAGGCCATTTTCGGAATGTTCAACATCGGCCGAACCCTGACCCGTGCCCCTGATGAGCCCGCCGCCGCCGCCTCCTCCTACTCCTCCTCCACATCGTCATCATCATCACCACCATCATCATCACCATGACCATGACCATCATCGTCACCATCACCAGCATCATCATAATCATGATCATCGCCATCGCCGTCGTCATCGTCATCATCATCGCCGTCATCAGCATCATCATCATCAGCAGCATCATCACCATCACCATCACCATTACTAGCATCATCACAACCAGCACCATCACCATCACCATCACCATCGCCATCGCCATCGCCATCACCATCACCATCACCATCACCATCACCATCATCATCATCATCATCATCATCATCATCATCATCATCATCATCATCATCATCATCATCATCATCATCATCATCATCATCATCATCATCATCCCGCCCGACGGGGCTCAGCGTATACCTGGGAATCTGGCGAGGGTTTCTTGCGTGGTAAACGCTGCGGCCCCCGATGGGCCGTGGCGAGACATGGAGGGCCGCAGGTGGGGTGGTGTCTTTTGTCTGTTGGCCAATCATCGTGGGTTGAGGAGGCGGCGGGCCGGCGGCCTTCTTCAGCTCCTCACGCGAGCTGTCGATCTTCGAGCCCCCGGACGCGAGCAACGCAGAGGAGCCCGTCTCTCAATGACGGGGGCACGGCGCCCCACGCGCGCCGCTGACGCGGCACGCCGCTGACGCAGCACGCCGCACGATAGAGAGGGCGCCCGCGAGCGACTTTGAGCGGAAAGGGTGCGCGCAAACGTACGCGCGAGCGCCCAGCAACGCCGCTCGCCACATGAGTCACAGAAAAAGGCTAGGGACTGAGGCTGAGGGGACCAAAAGGGGGGACGCAAGGGCACCCCGAGGCTCAAGCCAGTGAGGCTCGAGGCTCGAGCCTCGGAGCCTCAAGCGTACAGAAGTCAGCCGTTAGAAGTCCTTCCCCACTCTCTGGAGCCAGGCAAACTGCGCAACCACAGCTTGAGAACACTCTGGCTTCGTCCTGCTGGGACGGCCTTCCCATCGGTCGCAGCGGACCTGACGCGCTTGGCAGCGCACGCGCCCCGAGGACGAGGGGGGACGATAGGGCGGGCACCAGCTCGAGGGGGCAACCACCGAGTCTGAGTCGGCCATGCGTCGTCGATAGATCGGCGACGTGGCATGGCCCCGAGAACGAAACTGCAGGGCCCTGGGCGGGGCCAGCTATCAGAACCCGATCGGCGATGAATGGGCGTTTGGGGGTCGACACGTTCCCCGCCCCCCTTGAGCCTACAGTAGGAGCTCGACCACAAGAAACCTTCCGCAAGAAACCCAACCCTGAGACCCAAGGGCGTCTTCTGATGTTTCGTGTGGGAGCCTCACGCTTTCCATAGCAAAGTCATCGAAACCCAGGAAACCCGGGGCACCCTGGACGCAAGCAGGATGTTCCTTGGCATACTCTAGATTTCGTAATAAAAGGGAGAGGGTCTGGACCCTCCAAGACGAGCCATTTTAGACCCCCCCTGTGGGAGAACCCTCCAAAACATCGTCCCCAGACCCCCTCAGGCCCTCCAAGATAGCCTGGAAGAGACCCCCCCGAAATGAGACCCCGCTCCCTTTTTTACGAAATCTGGAGTAGGTTTCCACTTGCTCAATTGACTATTTTTGAAGATTCCTCCTGTAGAGGGACACGCCCGGCTTAACTGTACCCCCGCCCTCTGACGATGCCCATGGGAGGACGGGTTTCCGCGAGCAGCGCGCTCCGCCGCGCTCGCGTGCGCAACCGCCACCGTCGGGCACCGAGCCACTGCCGGCGCGAAGGGCCGCGGCGGCGTCTGGGGCCGGCTCTGGCCGCGCGCAGAGGGGCCCCGCCCGGCCGCCTTGGCGTCCCGCACGCTCTCCTCCCGCCCCGCGATCACGATGGTGAGGTTGTCCGTGTCCACCGCTATCCTGTGGGCTGGGTGGCACAGGAGCGCATGGCGGGATCCCTCTCCATCCCCCTACCTCCCCCCCCCTTTCCTCCTCCTCCCCTCCTCCTCCCCTCCTCCTCCCTCCTCTGTCCTCCTACTCCTCCTCCCTCCTCCTCCTCCTCCTCCTCCTCTTCTCCTCCTCTCCTCCTCCTGCTCCTCCTCCTCCTCCTCCTACCCTCCTGCTCCTCCTCCTCCTCCTCCTCCTCCTCTTCCTCCTCCTCCTCCTCCTCCTCCTCCTCCTTCTCCTCCTCCTCCTCCTCCTCCTCCTCCTCCTCCTCCTCCTCCTCCAGCGCATTTGCCACTGGGGGGCGGAGCCTCCGAGAACCCCTGGCCCACGACGACGGCAGTGACGACGGCGGGGGCGGCAGGGCGGCGGCGAGAGGCGGCACAGGCCCCACCGGCGTCGGCGAGAGGCGGCGGCGGCGGCGGCGCAGACGACATCGGCGGCAGCGAGAAGCGTCGGCGGCCGTCGGTCGGCTGGCGCGGGCGAGGTCGGGGGAGGGCGGCCTCGTCTGGGTGGAGCTCTGCAGCTCGCGGATCGTCGAGCCCCCGCTGCCTATCACGGCGAGCGCCTCCGTGCGCGCGCGCGGGTTGCGCGGCCTGCCGCGTCGACGGCCCCCCCAAAAGGCGCCCACATCTCCCACGGGCCGAGAGGCACCGGACCACCTCCACCGCTGGGTGGCCAGGAGCGCAGCCCCGTGCGGTGGGCAGCTGCCCGACGGCACGTGGGCCACCTCAGGGGAGTTCTCACGGGGCTCCAGCGGTGGTGGTGGTAGTCAAATGTATCCTGGCGACGGATGAACCTGCGGCCCCACACGGGGCGGGATCCTGCGGATTCGTCTGCCTCGAGGGTGAGATGTAACGCTACTTGCTCCCTTGCCTGCCTCCCTCGTTCCCCACTGGCCATCCACGGTAACAGCACACGCGAAAACCGACAACGACACCGACACCGACAACGACACCGACCGACAGCCCACATTTAACCCAGAAGGGCGCAACGGCGCGGGGCCAGGGCAAGCCGCCCGGCCAGACCGAGCAGGCCGAACGCACCGACCCAAACGCCGCCGAACCGACCGAACCGCGGACACCCTTGCTCTGCCACTCCCTGCATCCATGCGCCGTCCGCCCCCCCCCCCACACACACACACACCTCCCGCCTCGGCGCGCCCCCCCCCCTTCCCCTTCTCTTGGTCCCAGGCTCCCCTTGATCAGCGCACCACCCGAGGCTTCTCCGCACATCAGTGGGGGAGGAGAAAAAACAGAAGAAGAACATATGAGCTGGGCTCGAGAGTCCCCAAGGAACAAACCGTGAACAGGATGGCGAGGGCGAGGAGGGAGCGGGCGGAAGAAGGTTCTGGGGGATATGACACTTTGCTACCGAAAGTGCAGGCGAAACGATGAAGGAACAGGAACGGGAGTTGGAGCAGAGACAGTAAATGGGAAGAGACCGAGGAAGGCGAGAATACGGCACATTAACATTGTTAACGTGAGACTCCTGACACCTGGGGCTTTCCCTCAACAAGATCACTGCTCATACTGAGTAGGCTGTTCGCGATCCTTGGGCCCGCGGAGAGCCCCAGGAGGCCGACAACGGAGAGCTCAGGACCCGTCTCCCTCATGACCCGTCTCCCAGTCGCCCCCGAGTGACCCTCGTTGTGTGAAGGTGTTAGGTCCTACACAACTCGAGTCTCCCGCGGCCGCTCGGGACGGTCAGGGCACCCCTGTATCGCTCTCGGCGATTCGCGGCTGCTGGACAGCACCCCAAAGGCTGGAAAACCGCCGAGCACGGACGAACGCGTCCGAACACGCTTTACCTCGAATCCCCGACATCCATTTCCTCTTCGAACCTCGACCCCCCCTCTCGTCCGATCTGGCAAGGACGAGGAGAAGCGGCGGGGACCGGGGGCGACGACAGGGGCGAATAGCCGACGGGCGGGCGTTACACGTATTCGCCTGGGAGCCCCACCGAAAGCATGTACCATCGGCGCCCCCGGATACGTGTATTGCTCCCCCCTGGGCTATTCGCCCCTATCGTCGCCTCCGATGGTCTCCCTTTGCCAGTGGGGCGGGGGACATAGGAGGAGGAGGAGGAGGAGGAGGAGGAGGAGGAGGGAGGAGGAGGAGGAGGAGGAGGACGAGGAGGAGGAGCGGGAAGCCGGGGGACCCGGCGAAGCAGGACGTGCGAGCGCCTGGCGGCCGGCCGGCGGCCAGCAGACCCCCCTCTGGGCGGGCGCTGGCGGGCCGCGCGAGGAGGGCACGGGAGGAGCGAGAGAGGGCGTGCCCTCCCTCGCTCGGCGAGGAGGGCATGGGAGGGGCGAGGGAGGGTGTGATGGGCCTGGAGGGCATGGGAGGGGCGAGGAGGGTATGGGCGGGCCGGGCGAGGAGGGCATGGGAGGAGCGAGGGAGGGCGTGATGGGGCTGTTTTCCACCACCACCACCAGAAGCTGGAGGGGGAGTGGGTCCTCCTCCTCCTCCTCCTCCTCTTCGTCCTCCTTCTCCTCGTCCTCCTCCTCCTTCCCCCCTCCAACTTGTGCTGGTGGTGGACGACACGCCCATCAAGGGTGGGGGCGAGCGGGACCACGAGAGACAGGGTGACGACGACGCAAACGGCATGGGCGGCGACGGCGACGAAGACGCAGGACCGGCGGCGACGACGACGGACGACGCCGACGACGACGGACGGCGGCGGCGTCGACGGCGGCGAGAGAGGCCTGGCTCTTGGACTGCAGCGTTATGCAGACGCGCTCCCGCTCCCACCTGCGGGTCGCCGTCCCGCCAACGCCCCCGCGCACTCTCTGCCAGAGCGCAACAACCGGATCAATGCAACGCTAGCTCGACGACTCCATCAGCGTGACAGTTTCTCGAGCAGAACATGAACGAGAAACACGCACAGTTTGAAGACGACGCGCGTGTACCCCTCCCGACCCTGGGAACCACAGACGTTGCTCCTTCTTGGAGGTCGTCGTCGGCGCCGCCGTCGTCGCCGCCGCTGTCGTCGACGCCGTCCACGGCGTCGTCCGCTGCGCCGGCGACATGCAGCAGTCGGTCGCCGTCAGTGTCGCCGTCCTCGGCGCCCCTTCGCCGGAGAAGGCCTTCGGTCCGGGGCCTGCCCAGGGCCTCGGAGCGGCCGCAGTCCGCAAAAGGGCCTCACGATGGGGCACCAACATCCGAGGGGCCTGCCGAGGAGCCGCCAGGGCCGAGCGCGCGCCGAAGGCCAGGGGAGACAGAGTCTGGGCCCGACCCCGCGGCGGCAAGGCGGGCCGCGAACACCTCGAGCATCGCTGCGCTCCTCTCCGGGGAGGAGGCGGCCCCGTTGCCTGAGAGAGGCCCCGGAGGCCCGAAGGGCCCTCGGAGGCCCACGCGGCGGCTCCTCGGCGGCTTCCCAGGGGTGCCGGGCGGCCCGTTCAGGGCCCTCGGACGCCTTCGGAGGAGCACTGCGCGGCCCTCGGAAGTCCACAAGGGACCTCCCCGTGGCCAGTGTTCCGTGCCGAGCTGCTGCTTCGACGGCGACCCTGGCCCCGTGGAGGGACCAAAAGGGGCCCCGAGGAAACCGAACAGCTTCCAGGACCCTTCTCGTCCAGGGCCCCCTGCTCCCTCATTGGAGGGGCAACAAAAAGCGGCACGAGCATCATGCCTCGGAGGTCCGCGCGGATCGTTAGGATCGGTGCTGGGCGCGGCGCGCGCAGCGCGCCAGGGGCGGCGCCAGAGGCGCCCCCAGGGGGACCCAGGGCCAATCCAGGAAATCCGCGAGGACCTAGGACCAATCATGTGCATGCCGTTTTTTGTTATTCGATTCCAGAAGCAATGTCAAGCAATGCAAGGCAATGCGAAGCAACGTAATGCGTTGCATTGCAATGTATCGCAATGCAAGCTAATGCAAGCCAATACAATTCGAACAAATGCAACGGCGCAGCGGCGACACGCAGCGACGGGCGGCCACAAACCAGCCAGACGAACCAGCGCAAATGGTTGCGACGGACAACGTCGACGGGCAACGTCGACATTTGCGACCGTCTCAAGGAAACGCATGGTTGCAAACCCGAGAACGGTGTTCTGGCACGATTTAGGATCGTCAGGATGCAACCGTCACGTTGATTCGCGGCGTTGAAGTCCCAGGAACGGTGCTCTGGCAAGATGTGAGACTGTAAGGGCGCAGCTGTCACGTTGAGCCGCGGCGTTGAAATACCAAGAACTGTGCGCTGGCACGACTGAAGGTTCTCAGACGGTTGCCTCCTGATGGACCACTTCCCGCAATGAAGATTAAAGCTTGTAGGGACATATGAAAAACGGGAACTTGGTGGGAGAGTTTATGGCAACATCGTTGATGTGTTTTAGGTGTTCCCTGGTCCTCCTCCTCCTCCTCCTCCTCCTGCCTGCGCTCCTCTGCTCCTCCGCCCCCCCTCCTCCTCCGACTCCTCGGACAAAAACATGCGACGATGAAGACGGCGAGGACGATGACGGCGACACCGACGGCTGCGGCGGCGGCAACGGCGGCTGCAGCGGCGATGGCGGCGGCGGCGATGGCTGCAGCGACGGCGGCAGCGACGACGGCGGCGGCGGCGACGGGGTGGAGTCGACGCACCGATTCAGCGAGTTGCGGATTCGGTTGCGGACCTGCTCCACAGACCTGACGGATCGGTCTCCGGGGGCCGCGCCCCTTCCCCGACCCACCCTTCCCCCCTGAGCAGCCGCCTCTCAGCTCCAACAACCCCTCCCGCTCCTCCTCTCCTCCTGCTCTTTCTCCTGCCCCCTCCTCCTCCGTCCTCTCCGTGCCCTCCTCCTCTTCCCTCCTCCTAATACCCTTCCTCTCATTCCTGCTCCCCTCATTCCTCCTCCTAATGCCCTTCCTTCCTCCTCCTCCATTCCTAATACCCTTCCTCCTAATGCCCTTCCTTCCTCCTGCTCCTCTCATTCCTCCTCCCTCTCTCCTACCACTCACCCCGTCAAACTCCCTCCCCCTCTGTGCCCTGCCCTTCCTTCCCTCCTCCGTCCCCCCCTGATACGCAAAGTCAGCAGCCTGCCCACTCAAATGAGAAACAAAAAGACGCGTTTCGCCCGGTCACGAGCTTCTCCCTCCAGCGCAGCCCGCTGACCCGTTCCAAGGCCAAGTTCGAGGGTTGGCCAAATAATGAAAGCCCCCCCCCCGAAAATATTTAGCCACTACGTAGCCCTCTCGCAATTACAACAAGATGGACATCCGAAGAGAGGCGACCTCACCATGGGCGTTGCTCCAACATTTTCACCCCTGGCCCCAAATCAAAAGATTTAGCCGCGGCTGGGCTCGAACCCGTCGGCCAAACGTGGCTCTCCAGTGGTGCCCTGGACAGCGCGGGCATGGCACAAGATGGGACAACGACGTCGAGAGACAAGGAGCGCCATGAGAGAGGGAGGGGACGGCTGGCGGCGGATGGAAGGGTCCCGAGCGAGGGCCCCACCCCTCCCGATGGAGAGGTAGGAACACACCGCCGCGATCCGCCCCCCCAGGTCCTCGCCCTCATCCCTCGCCCGCATGCAGGAGGCCCCCCCCGGTTCGACAACTCACGGCCCTTCTTGAACAAGGCCCTTACAACTCACGGCCCTCCTCCCCCCACACCAGCTTGAATGCCCCCCACTTGAGGGCCCCCCCCAACCGGATTGAACCCCCCCCCTTGTATCTCGGGGGGAGGGGGTCGTCCCCAGTTCGACCCCCCCCCGCTCCCCCCTTCCCAGCGCCCACAGAACGCGACAAAAAGCGCCATTTCAAAGATAGAGATTGATACTGCTACTCTCCGGACCTCTCCCCGGGCGCGTTCTGACCAACATTCCGAGGAGAACCCAACCGGGGCGACGCGGGCTCTCCAGGACGGGCAGCGGCATCGGTACCCTTTCCTTCCCTGGCTGCAAGGAGGGCTGCAAGGGCTGCAAGCACTCCCTCACACCTCCACCTGCGTGCGGGACGAGGTGGGCGCGGAGGAGTACCACAAGCCCCCCCAAACCTCCCAGGGGCCTGGGCACGGTGCGCCTGACCGGCACTTCAGCGGGAAACGCCGCACGTCTCCCCGCGGAGCTCGCATCGTGGACAGTACGTGTACCTCAACGGTCAAAAGGACCTCAAGGCTTCTCACATCTTTGTCGTGCACCCTCCTCGCCAAGAATCGCCCTGGAGCAAAAGCCGAAACATGGCGATGCCATCCACCCCCTGACTGCTATCACAATATCCCCCAATCACGGGCGGGCCCAGACCCGGGTGTGTTTCATCTGCAGCACCAGCCGCTGTGGGAAGCTGCATCACTGGTGCCACGGAAATCTGTTGTTTCTGCTGCAGCCGTCTTGGTACCCGCCAGTCGGAAGACGTGCGTGGAAACATGAAGTAGGAAAGCGGATCTAATAGATTGTGGTCGGACGCGCCTGAATAATCCGCCGGTTGAAGTTCGCGCGAGGAGGGGGGTGCCCCAAACAGGTGATTGACCACCCTCGGATCGCGTGCTCTGTATTTCCGGGGGGGCGTGGGACACGTAAAAAGACAGGAAAGTCGCGCCCCCGAAGCCATTAAACTAACCCTCGATTCTCCGTACATTATACAATGCTTGCGTTTCCCATGCCATAAACCCTCGCACATGACACACCTTGCATCCCCGAGGCAACCAACCCATGTAAATTACACAATATCCGCGTCCCCGAAGCCATGAACCTCCGCAAATCAACTGCCGAGGCCAAGAGTACCCCAAGGCGCCCGAAGATGGTTCCAAGACAGCCCAAGAGGGCCCCAAGAGCGCTCCAAGAGGCCTCCCGAGACAGCCCCAAGACGTCAACATGCTAGAGTTTACACATGTTTTTAAAGGATGTTAGTCTTCTCGCAGTTTCGGCTCTCCGACGCTCCAAGACGGCTCAAGCAGCTCCCAAGACTGCCCCAAGACAGCCCCAGACGCGTCCAAGAGGGCCCCAAGACGGCCCAATAGGGCTCCGAGATTGCTCAAGAAGCGCACTGAGAAGCCCCCGGGAAGGCTCAATAGGCCGCCAAGAGGCCCCAAGAGTCGCCCAAGACGCGCCCAAAAGGTCTCCACGAGTCCTAGAAGATACCTCACGAGGCCCCAAGAGGCCCTTAAGAGGCGCCTTAATAGCCTTTAAAAGGCCCCCGAGAGGATCCCCACGATACTCCAACACATCTACAAGAGATCTCACACCCACAACCCAGGCACGGTAACGGGATGGGCCGAAGGCCACTCGGATAACGCCGACGTACATATGCGCTGATGATTCCTGTCCGCCCCCGCATGATGCTCCCAGATGCGCCAAGGCAGCGACGCGACGCACCGCCGCGACTCCGATATATTCCAGCCTGATAAACAGGGGGCCGGCGGCAGGGGGCGAAGCCCTTACGGATAACAAGTAACATCGAAAGACATCCTGATTCTTGAAGTAGGAAGGCGCTTGAAGTAGATCGGGGTATGGGAGTCCAGAAATACCGACTCACTTTCAACAACCAGCGAATTTGCCTGTCAACAGCACCCAGAGATCACCTATCGCCTATCGCCCCCTCCTCTCTTCGAGAAGCTTGCAGAAACCTCGGGCAACCACTGGGCATCACCGACCCCTGGCGATAACCTGGCCCAAGACCTCGCGACTTCTGTTCTAGCGCGGGAGAACGTTTGTGGGCACAACTTTCACATCAGAGCGGTACTTGAGACTTGCCCGCGTCCCTGCTGCGTGAACGGGCAGACGAACATACACTCAGAACCAGGATTCGGGTGTCGCTTAATCGGGGGCGATAACCGGGGGGGAAGAGTGCACTTGTCGGGCCCTAAAGGCCATCTTTTGGGCCCTGAAAGACTCTTTTTCTGCAGCCCTCGCTGCCCCCTCCCCATTTATCGCTCCCCCTTGTACGCGACGCCCAACTGGCCGTTCTGGAATGTTTCCGGGAGTGCGTTGCGCGAAACAATGGGCCCTCGCCGTCACCGTCCGCATCATCGTCGTCGTCCTCGAACCGCCAACCTTCGGGAGACCTCACGGCGTCGGCGGTTTGAACGTCGTGCTTTCCGGGCCCCGAGTTCTCGAGCCCACCCTCGGGACAACTGCCTCGCTGCCGACTGCTCTTCATTGCCCCAGGGCTCGTGGCGGACCCCCCCGACGCCGAGAACTGCAAAACGGACGGGCCCGCAATGACTTTTGCCACGACGCTGGAGATCTGGATAGTCGTCGAAAGTGAGGGCACAAGAGTTATGCCGATGCCGCTACAATCAAAAACCCAAATAAGGACGCGCGGCAAGGACGCAAGGCCCTTGGAAGCCGAAGTTGGGATTTGTTGGGCGGCGGACGACGAAAACCTCAAGGACGCAAGAGCAAGGAAGAGCAAGGACGCAAAAGGTACCCTGAGCAAAGTCGCGCGTCCTTATTCGGGTCTTTGACTGTACTCCCTGGTCCTCTCCCTGGGCGCGCTCTGGCCAGGATGCCGAGGCGAATCCAGCCGTGGCGACGGGGGCCCCCCGGGTGCCCCACACGGCGACGATGAAGGGAAGGGCATCGGGCACTGGCCCCCGTACGTGAGGAGGTGGAGGAGGAGGAGGAGGAGGAAGGAAGGGATGCTCTTTTTCCTCGAGGAAGGCCTCCTCCTCCTCCTCCTCCTCCTCCTCCTCCTCCTCACCTTTCACCCCTCACTTCTCCTCCTCCTCCTCCTCCTCCTCCTCCTCCTCGTCTTCCTCCTCCTCCTCCTCCTCCTCCTCCTCCTCCTCCTCCTCCTCCTCTGGGTCGTCGTCGAACGGCCTGGGGTTGCCGCAACACCACATGGTCGCCATGGAGCGGTCCAAACTGACCACCGCCCCCGCGGACTGCAACCGCATCAACTCCCGGTCGTCCTTTCCGCAACGGCGGTGCGCCGCCGAAGCGCACGGCCTCCCCCATTCCCATCTGTAACGCGATGTTCACCATGCGCCCTCCTCTCCCCCATTCTTGCTCCTCCTTCCATCCCTCCTCCGCCCCATCCCCTCCCCTTCCTTCTCCTCCACCTCCTCCCTCCTCCTCCTCCTCCCTCCTCCTCCTCCTCCTCCTCCCCCCTCGCCTCCGCCTCCTCCTCCTCCTCCGCCTCCTCCTCCTCCTCCGCCTCCTCCTCCTCCTCCTCCTCGTCCTCCGCCGCCTCCTCCTAAAACTTGGGAGGCGAGGGGGACATGACGGACGACGAACGGCGACCAACGAGGAACGACGACCGACGATGACGACGCCGAAGACAGCGACAACGCCGACGACCGACGCCGACTGACGACAAAGACGACGACGGCGGAAGAAGAAGAAGAAGAAGAAGAAGACGGCGGAGGGCAATGACGGTCTGCTCCGCGAGCGGTAGACATTCACGTGTACGCCCTGTTCCCGCAGGCCAGATTTGCAAAACGCCAGCCGGGGCTCAGAAACCGAAGGACGCGTGCAGCCCAGTGAACCTCCGAAGGGTTTTCCCATAGCCTCGCGCCGATTGAACCTGCAGGCTGCAGGGGTAGAGGACTCTCAAGCACACGCTGACGTGCATCAAACGTCAGAAGCAATCGTCCACCCTCCCAACGTTATCAGGATAATACATCCATTCCCGAGGGACGGGGGCAACCGCCGCACGGTGTCGTTACACGGTACACGTACGCACGAACTAATTCAGCGGGGGGGGGCGTAAGAGTAAGTACGCCCAAGAGAGGCCGCAAGGCGGTATGTTCGGAGACAAGAGCCCCCGTCGACAGCGCAAATACTTGAGGCAGCCCTGACGAGATCGAAACATACAGCAGCATGCCGTCAAACACAGCACGTCGGCATAACTCGGATTGGGAAGAGTCCGAGAAAAGGGGAGCCCGATGGGGGAACCATAACAGAGCAAATATCCACCACTGTGCCGCGAGGCGCGAAGTGGAGTTTTCTCCAGGCTCTCGTGTGTCCTCTGTTCTCTATGCTCAGGTCTCTGGGGTTCTAGTAGTCTATGGGGCTGGGCCCTGGGCCCCCACTTCTCAACATTCATGGGAGATCCCGCGCGTTTCGTGGGCAGACTCGCACGACTGTTTTCGGAGGCCAGGCGGCCCCAAGCAAGACGTGCCAAGAGGGCCCCAGAGAGCGCCCAATAGGATCCAAGAGGCCTCCAAGACAGCCAACAAACGCTCCAAGACGCACACGATGGCCCCACGACGGCCCACGAGGCCCCACGCCAACCCCAAGAGCGCTCCATGAGGACATCCAAGAGGGCCCAGCGAGGCACACAACATTGATTATCCCTGTGGTATTCTATGTTTGTCGCGGTCTCGCGCGTTCGGGCTTCCGACGCTCCAAGATGGCTCCCGATGCATCCAAGGCCGCTCCAAGATGGCCCAGGAGACACCCACGAGGGCCCCAAGACGGTCCAAGCGGGCCCCAAAACGGCCCAAGAAGCGCCCGAGAGGGCTCCAAGACGGCCCCAAGAACGGTCAAAGAGGGGGAGCACGAAGCGACAATTCGAGACTTCCGCCCCAAGAGGCCCCCAGGAGGCGTCAAGAGGCCCCCAAGAAAGCCAGATAGACCCCTAGAAGCCCCACGAGGCCCAAAAGGAGGCCCCAAGAGGCCCCCAAACGGCCCCCCAGAGGCCTCAAAACTGCCTCCCACGTACATCCAAGAGGCCTCTAACCAACAACCCAGGCACCGTGGCGGGATGGGCTGAAGGCCACCCGATACCTTGGGGGGGTCCTATGGGAAGGCCTTGTGTTTTCGGGGGGTCATACGAGGGAAGTCCCGATGGGGAATCCAACGGAGGACTCCCATGTGGGCACCCGTGGGGGAGTCCCAATGGAGGAGTCCTACTGGGACCCGATCCTATAGGGATCCTCTTTGAAGCCTGTTGGAATCCGGTTGGGATCTTACGGGGTTCAGGTCGGAGCCCTCTTGGGGGCTCACTGGAATTCGGTATGGGGTCTCGTTGGGATCCTGTTCGGATTTCGATGACCTCCCGCACTGAGTGGTCTGGGGGCGGGAAGCCATACAGTGTTACCGAAACAGGGGGGGCCGATACAAATCTGTAGATCTGGCACGTGGGCGCGCCACGCTCTACTCGCACCTGCCCTTCCCTCGTGCCCGCCCCCCCCCCCTCGCGACCCTGCTCGCCTCACTCTCCTCCTATTCAATCCCCCCCCTGTGCTCCTACTCCTCCTCATCCGCCTCCTCCTCCTGTCCCGCTCTTCATCTTCCTCCCCGTGCTCCGCGCCCTCCTCCCCGACCTCAGGGCCGGCGGCACCGGCCGCAAGGCCTTCGCAATCTGCATATCTGGCACGTGGGCGCGGGGGAAGACCAGCCTCCCCCCGAAACATGGCGCCACTGCTGCCTGGTTTTGCAACGGCGCGCGCCGATGTCTGCGCGGGAACGGGAACGGGAACCGCCGCTACGAATCCACGCGCCTCAATCCGTGTTTGCCCTTCCCCTGAGGTCCGACGTTGCAAACATCATGCAACATCGCGAAACATCGCGACTTGAACCCTACACTTGAATCGCAGATTCGAGGGATCTTGTCTGCCCCGTCGCGCCCCGATCTGCATCGGATCCGTGTCGAACGCGTCGAAACAGTGCCGAATCCGTGTCGAATCCACGTCAGATACATCTCGAATCCGCGGCGAACCTGCGGCAGAGTACAAGAAATATCGCCAGGTACAACACAGGAAACGTCGCCCGAATATGCACAAGAGAGACAAACCCCGTCTTCCCCCGTGATTTCTCGATCCAGTCAGATCCGTGAAGGCC